TTGGTCGCGCCTCGAAGCGGCCGTTTTGCCCCCGTGTGATCAGCAGCATTGCCGCATGTCGTCTAGCAGAGGTTGTCTTGTGCGGATGCTGCGCCCAGAACAGGCCCAATAAGCAGTCCTCATGTCCGCCTGGCCCGAGTCAGACGGGGTGCCGAGTACGCGCGCGGCCACGGCGACAGCAAAGTACTCGCATGAAGGGCAACGGGCGTTACGCGCGACAACATCCTCCGCGATGCTCGAATGCCTCCCGCGTAAGCTCGAGCGCGCGCCCTTGCCTTGGCCAACGCACCACCGTGCCCCCATGTGCTGGCGAGCAGTCAAGTCAACTTGGCGGGGTGGGGTGATGTGTGTGTGTGGGTGGGTGTGGGTGGGTGGGTGGGGAGGGGGGGGGGGGGGCGGCGGGGGTGGTGGTAGTGGCGGTGGCGCTGGCGATGACGGTGGTAGTGGTGGTTGTTGGTGTTAGTGGTGTGTGTGTGTGTGCGCGTTGGTGTGTGTGTGTGTGTACGTGCGTGCGTGGGGTCGGGGCGACATGTATACGGCATGACTATGTCTGTACTGTACGTGATGTCTACATCACACCTCGCATGCACACATGCGCTACATTGTACTTCAGACCTACGGCTTCCACATTTGCCGCACAACACGCGTACGCCATCAGGGCTATACATAAATGTATACACGTACATGTATACAGACCTAACTATACACAAGATGCGGTGCGGTGCGCAATGGCAGATAGCACAACTTCATGGTCGACCCTTCGACAGCGCCCATCATGCCATCCCTTCTTTGTCGCGCTCGTCCGTTTTGGTGACCTCCTGTGTCTCTTCTGTGATCCACCCCATCATTCCCCCCAGCCTTCTGATATTAGTTGCACCCCGCCTGCATACACCAATAGACCCTTGAAGCTTAAGGGTAAACACAAACCTCGGGTACCATCTGGCAATGCACTGGATCATTGGTAATGCATTCCCGACATTTGAATAATTGCCCCGTGTGTTGTACATACATTTCTTCGCATGTATGGTACACGCGTAGACACACTAGAAGCTTACATTAGCCAGGACAGTACGATCGCATTGAATATGTGGACATACGTAATGTAGCGTGCCATACACCTACATTCATGATGCACGGGTTTACGTTGTACTGAATTATGCGTAAATCTACATACCCTGCACGATCAACCCATCCCTCCCGTTCCCCCTCCCTCCCTCCTCCCCTCCAGCCCTCCCCCCCCCTCCCTCCCTCCCCTCCTTCCCCCCTTCCCTCCCAGGTTCGCCCCCCTCCCTCCGTCCCTTCCTCGGCCTGGAAAGAAGTTAGCCTCCCAGACGTTTCGGGCTGCACTCCAAGAGAACCAACGTGAACACACGACGGCCCAAGATGCCTGCAAGACGCCCCAGGAGGCTTCCTGGAGGATCCTAAGATGCTAGGGTCGGTTGTCTGGCATTGGGTTGCGGCCTATATTAGAGATCTCGCCCTTGAGGGCGTCATGCAGCGTTGCGAAACCCAATATGCTTACCAGATGTCCCTAAGGCGGCCCACGGGGGCCCCAGGAACACCTCAATACAGCCCAACATGGTTTTCAAGACGGCCCAGACGGCCCAGACTTGGCTCCAAAACGACGTCCAAGAATGGAGGGCAACCTCACATGGCATCCAAGACGGCCCAGCATGCCATCCAAGACGGCTTCGATGGCCCCAAGACGGCCCAAGATGCTCTAAGACAGCTCCAGTCGGAGCCTAGACGCTCCAAGACGGCCCAAGAAGGGCCTTCTTCCTCCAGGCGCCCCTTCTTCCTCCAAGGCGTGCCGGTACGGCCAAGACCCCCGAAGACGGTCCAAGAGGGCCCCTCGCCGTCTTCCTCCAAAGTACTTTAGGTGTCAGCGTTTGGGTGGTTTTGTTGGCGCCAGTGGTCCTTCTCACGACTGCTCGGCGCACCACCACCGCCACCGCCCACGTCGCCGTCGAGGTCCTGCACGTTCTCCCCGTCGGACTCGCCGTCCTCGTCCAAGTCGTCGTCGCCATCGGAACCTTCCGCAAGCCACTCATCTCCTCCAGGGCCCCCCTCATCGACAGCGCGGTCGAGCCTTGCCAAGATCGAAGCTTTGTCCAAGTTGCAGCACTTGAGCTTCTGCAGCATGCCCTTCTTGAGCTCCGACTCCGCTGTGCGATTGAACGCAGCTGCACCCTGCTCAGCATGGACGTTGTGGCTGGCGTGGCATACGTAGTTCGTTCTTGAAGTGACCACGTCGCGGTAGAATTCATACAAGTAGCCACCAGTTTCGCCTTCCCAATTTTTCAATACTCCTTTGTATTGTTTGCCACTCGGGCTCACCAGATCTTGCAAGCGTAGCCCGTACTCGTCTGGTGATTTCTTGTACTCTGCTTCGAACTCCGTCTTGGCGAGGCCAACCTTGCGGCACAGGACGCGATATCCACAGCTAGTGTCCTGGCCAACCTTTGAGGTGTCCGATTTTCCGTGCGCTTCCATCCGCATG